ATGGGTTAGATCTTTCCTGCCGAATTACATCTCGGAAAATGTCAATTTTATCAATATACTTTTTTTGGAATGTTGGCATCACTAAAGTTAAACAAAAATTCCGTTGTCTGCTCACGTGACTGCCGACCACTAAGATTAATTTAGAGTATAGTTTTCTGTTTACATTAGTGTACTGGGACTGATAGAAGAGATATTCTACGATATGTCATTCTCTCTTTTACTATCTTCTTTTGCGGACGTAAAACATACAAGTTACATAAATTGATGTTGATTCTTTATCCACCAGTGTTTCCATCCACAAAGCAGTTGACTTCTTATGGAATTTTATTGTTCCTCCTACCAGACTATTGGTTTCACTAAAAACCTTGTTTTGATCTGGACAATATTAGATTCGGATTCGGGGGGGGGCAGTGTAAACCTATCAGTTGTGTTGCTGTGGACAGACCCTTGGGCCCAACGTTAGAGGATGTTCTTATGTGGATAACTAAACAGAAGACAGGTGATGAAATTTCAAAATCTTTGTTTTATAAGCAGTTTGTTGGTCACATTTTTGTTACTTTCAGTCCCTTCTTGACACTTCTAATTCTACCCACTCCAACTTCTGTGTTACATGAGAGTGTGAATCGAATTGATGTTGGTTTTATACAGACAAGGTACCGATGAGTCCCTCAACGTTCTGTTCACCGCAACAACACATGAAACGGTCAGTAGTTACGGTTCTTTAGCTATGACTTATAGGCGCGGGCTGGTGGAAACTTCATTCTACACAGCGAGGAGACTATAGAGCCCGAATCAACTAGAGCAGGATGAGGAATTTTTGAGGAAAGTCCTGTTAACGAACAATCCTTCAGAGTGTTTCATTGAGATTCATGTTAAGGTTGGAGCACAAACAACACAGATTCATTCAGACAACGAGGAGATTCGGCTGTATTCAGTTGAGTCTCCCGTTAAAACCAGATTCGTGTGCAATGTGAGTATACGTAGAAAAAAAGATGCATTTGTTCCCTCAATTCAAAGACGACCCCGCGAACACCAACTCAAGACCCAAACTTATTTCGGCTTTAGAGCATGTCCTTACTGGAGTCTAGCTACATCCGATACTAATCACCGCACATAGGTTAAACAAAACTGTCTAACCTGTCCTCCTCTCGTATAGTCTACGGGCTAAGTTCAGCCTATGAGGAACTGACGATGACAGGAGAGACAGATATCTAGCAGGACGCGCTGCAGAACACGGTCCAAATTATGCAACCCGGGTGTTGTCAGAACATCCGTCAGGTCAGAGGTCAATTCGCAATCCTGAATTGTCGACTGCGAAACATCGATTAATTATTGGCCGTCAAACCGACCTGGCCAACTCATTCCTAATCTTGTGGCGCAACCCAAACACAAAGGGTTTGGCGATAAGCGAAGTGTTGCTAATTAATTCAAGTTTACCTTGACTACGTGAACAAAAACAGCCTAAGCAAACCATCTGGTTACGTGATTCAACCGACCAGTGTCCGGTGAACATCGTTTCTACTGTTTATTCATATGACTCGCATGTTTTACGTCCAGAAATGAAAAAAAAAAGAATTTTGCCATCCGCAGCACGATTTCTATCGGATACAAAGGACACGATGTTTCAGGTCACTTATTAGTCCGGTGAAAACATTCCACAGGTAGCTTGTTTGCTTGCATTCTCTCCGTCTTTATCAACATCTTTGCTAACAAATGATAATCACGACAGGAGCTTTCACACCAAATGATGTGCTCCCTGGCACGAAATTAACGGTACTCTGTCGCACTGCCTGGCTGGTTCCGAGAGGAAAACAATACGACTGGCTGAGAGCCTGGTGCGTGGATTTAGGAGTGAGGCTGACAAAACATGATTGATGGACCCTAGACATCATGACAAACATAGCGGGCAAGGTCAACCGCTAACGCGGACCGTTGTAGACAAGACGACAGGTGTCACGTTGAATGAACACAAGGAAACAAACACACCAGATACAACTTGTTCGGGTTTCGGAAGATGCGGTAGGGTGACAGCGGGCCATGGGTGGTAACACAGCGGACCATTTGATGAACTTGACAAGTTTTCACATTCAGGAGGCATTGGATTATGCTCAAAATGAGAGGGTTTTGTTGCAGTCAGCTCAGTGCACTTATCGCGAGACCAGCTTGCGTGTATGTGCATGTGTGTTCAACTTTAGAACGTCTGTGAGATGATGTGCATTAGTGGTCGCTGTGTCGCCTTGCTTACTTGATGCATGCTGTGTCTCTTGTCCATACACGAGGCTCCTGTCCAGTCCAGCCTTGTTTCTCTCTCCAAAGTTTGGCAGGCTGGGCATTCAGTAGCCCATTAGCCAGTCAGGCAGTAGAGCAACAGGCTGCTGACCGAAGAAGAGTAATAACCGACAGATCATCAGCTATCTGAATGGCAATGCAATCGCGACTGGTAAACAGCCGAAATATATGCGTTTGTCGCAATCATACTGCTGCGCAATCGTCCACCCACAGTGTGTTGTCTGTTGATAGTACGAAAAAACTGGAAATTTCGTGCTGTAGAAGAAATAAATCCACAGCGAAAAGCCTAGGTGGACTGTACAGCTCTGCACCTCAAAGCCTATCACAACTGCGTGGATAGCCGTACTCCATGTAACTCTATTAATTGCCAGATCTTCCTATGACCTGGGTCTACTTGAAGGCCGTCCCAATAGCGGGGTTTCGTTCGTTCCCAATCTTGAACTCCAGCTGGTTGTAGACAAGTTGTTTTGGGATGCGAGTTCCGGACATTCGTTTTAAATGAACTGCACTGATCTTTCAGACTGCACTTGACTTTAGCACTGTTTGCATTTCGACGGACTTGAATGTTTGGTGCTCGGTGTACCCATTTGATCCGAACGATTTTGCGCGGGCAATGCCAGTGAAGTCGGTAAAGAACCGTAGCATGTAGTTTGCATGTTTTCCAGGTTTCTGTGCCATACAGGAGAGAAGGTGTCCCAACGCACTGCAATCTTTTTATCTGTGTTCAAGTAAGGATTGCTCCAGATGCGCTTTTTGAGGCTGCTGAATGCCTTTTAGCCTTCGCAGTTAATTTATTTTATTACCAAGTATCACGTCAGTGGATAGAGCCTTTCCAATTTACCATAAATCTGTACAGTACGCTATCTCGCAACCACTTAGCTGAATATTTGGTGTTTTATGATTAACTCTCAGTGCAGGGTGATGAAAGACAAGTTTTAGAAACAACTGTATTCCAGCCAAACGTCATAGCTCGCAAGCAATAGTATGCCTATATTGGGATCATGCAGCAGTGTTCTGAAGAGCAAACGCTTCAAACTGAATACATCAAATTCGCGGTAACGGGACGACTCTGAGCAGCTGGTTTTGAAATTTAAGTTGAACAACAGCTGCTGGACAAAAAGCTGCATCACTCCGGCGCTGATTTCGAACTCATTCGAGATGTCTACGCAGGTTCGCAGACGGACCTTCATTCCAATGTGAAAGGCCTCGTTGTGGACGACTGGTTTGTCCAAACAGTCAAACCTGGAGGCTGTAAAATCCTGGCGACGTATTCGAAGACAGACATTCTAAACTGTGGTTGATCCAGTGGACAAACCTCCCCTCGATTTGTCTTGCGAGAAAATTCAAGTGAGTCATACTTCGATCGCTTCAAAATCCACACTGCGCTTCAGGAACCTTTTCCTTCAGAAGACCAGCGACTAGTCAATACGATAGATAAGCCTGCCCGTTGTGCGTAAAAAGCTGCTTTTGCAACAAAACCTATAGACCTATAACCAAGAATTGGTGTTCGGTGTTCACTGGTCCCAAAAGTTTCTAACGCGCTTCTGTGCATTTCGAAGGTTATGAAATTTTAGCTGATGACCAAGAACTGGGAATTTATCCACATACGTAGGCTGAAAGTCCTAGGGTGTAGCGGTCATGGGTGATTTTTGACATAAACCTTTTGGCTTGACCGAAATAGGTATTGTCGGATTTCAGACACCTGATTAGCATAGGTTCCGGTAGACAGGTTCTTCCCTGCTCCGCCGATGTCACATTCCACTGATTCTGTCTCGACCGGTTTGACGGCAATTGATCGGGAACCACACACAAAACAGAACGTTTTTGCACCCGCACCTTGTCGGGACGCGCCCAGATATGGAAAAAGTACATGTGCAGGGAGTGACGCATTCCCAAGGTCACAGTCGGTACGACGCCCGGAAAGCAGGTGTGTTGGCGGAGCTCACCAAACGGCTTAGCGGCCATACGACCATCGGAGTGGCCGCTGGATGCTTTAAAAAAACTTACCCAAGGCGGTTTGTTGCATGTGTCCCGTCCACATTCACTACGTCGGGAAAGCGTCGGAATAACGCTATCTGCTGCCATCGGGAGAAACATATGTGGCTATAGTGACCTTCCTCTCCCTGACACACAAGAACGCGTCCGGTCTCCCGAAGTTTTGCCAGGACCGAAGGCATATCATCTGCTACATTAAAACCCAACCATTAGGCACCTACTCAACATAGCCGGTCGACACTTCCGGCGGTAGTTGTGTATATCCTTAGTTGTAAGAATCTTTCCGAATTCATCCGCCACAAACTGCCGCACCTCAGATGACGGCGTTCCATATCTCAGCAGGGCCTGGCATGTGCCCAACTCGTCTTCGGTTAAGCGTCGATTGACTGGAAGCCGATCGTAAAGAAACTTTGACAGTTTGTGGTTGTGTTCCAGAAAATAAGACGTCACTGCCAGTTGGTTCCTTTGCCTCCGTAGACAAAACCGCACTGGGCAGCTGGTGCTTCGCGTACTTTTTTTTTTAGAAATTACGCTCGGCTTACTAGCTTCTTCGGATTCCACGGCTTTCCGTTTTTCTTGGAGGGCGCCTGCTGCATTTGTAGTAAACCCATTCGTAACGCAAAATAGTGTTGGTGCTTCGATTACTGGATGAACGCACAAATATCACAAAGCTATCCTTCATGTATTGATTTAAGGTCTTCTCAAATGCCGTGAAGGATGAAAACGATACACCCACAAATTTCTCAACGAAAGCCACTTCCGAAGCCATAGCAGACGAAGTTCAAAGCCGAATGTGCGCCAATACCGAAAGTGCGCCAATAATTTTCAAATGTCATCGATTAAAACAAATCGCAAAAAAATAACGGCAGATGAGGGGGGTTTTCAGTCTACGCATATATGCAAAGAAGTGCAACATTTTGACGTTAAAGTTTTTATTTCGTCCGCAGGCGTTTTGCAGAAAAATACATTGTGCGTCTAGCCGCCGGCATCGGAGTGGGCCTGAAAGTGTTCACGACCGGAACACCGCCATTGGCTGTACAGGACGGACAAGTGAACGACCGTAATTGTCCCTGTAGTCATCCTATATATATTTATGCAGAAGCTCTGTATGTTTTGTTCTGACAATATAGCCGTGTCTCTGTCTTCTTATCGCGTAATCTGGCAGGCTCAGTGCAGGCGTAACCAACAGACGTCCACCCACAACGCAACACACCTAACATTTATTCTTCTATGGTTTAGTTGCACAAAAATTACAAATTACGGAGTTTCAGATTGCCACCTAGTTCGATTCGATTTAGACTGGTTTCTATTGGAATGAGTGAAGATAACTTTCAGCGGCGGTCTCACTGTTTCAGGTAAAGGGATTGCTGACGGAGTTT